ATGAATACTTATTGTTTATATTATTTGGAGGGAATTTATTATCTATAAAAATGGATGAAATATAATAGATCAAAATTTAAGATAATTTCACTGTCATGTTAGTGTGTAGAATCACTAGTGTAGTTTAATATTGTTATAAATGAGGGAAAAACTGTGATATTACTTTATAATTAACAACATTTTAACTATTGCTAAACGTATTCACAATGATTTTTAACAATTTTCTATATTACTTTTTAGTGTATGTCTTGGCTCGTCCATCCCTGACAGAAGAGAAATATGCTACTAAAAAAGAAAATCTAAGCAAAATAACATGTGTGAATTTTGATAAAGGTAGTTTTTGTCTTTTCCTTGCAATTATTGACACCGGTCTCTTTATCATATCTTTGGAATTTTTCTTAGTTGAACAACCTGTAAATGCTGACTCTTTGTCTCTAATAACCTTCGAATGTTGCTTGTTCGGTTCGCTCATCTCTCACAAGTTCAAGTCTAAGATTCATAAAAAACACTGGCATTTTATCTTCTTTGTTATTGACGCAAATCCACATTACAAAAGTATAACCAACCAATGACATTCGTCGTATGTTTAATTTTTAACACTACTATAAATAACACACAATACAACTACGTTTCTTTCTTACAACACATTTCTATTTTGAAGTACCAAATACTGACTTGGTACTGTCAGTATTGCTTTGACCGATGAATGCTTTCCGTGGTTGTGTGTCTTAGCCCTCTTGGCCCACGATTGATATTTTAAATGAAGTCCTTGTTATTATTCGTTTGATGCCAGGATTTTTAAGATATTTTTTTCAAAAAATACCCTTAATTTCCATCTCAAATATTTACTTTTTAGAATAAACTGAAAGGAAATTGCGTAGATTAACAACTGTCGTGTTACCTACCCCGCTTTCACGCTCCCCCCTCTGCGGCTTCCGGTGCACCACCTCCACCGTCAGCCACTGCGCCCTCCGCCACAATCTCCGTCGTACTACTTCCCTCGCCATCTCGTCTTCACCATCCACGCCCCCTCCCTCCGGCACGCTCGCCGACCCCACCGCCAAGTGACGGTAGGACCTCCCCTGTGAATCTCACCACCCACACCGCCCCTGCGAACCGACAGACGTGGCCCACTGCATCTACTAATGTTACTGCAGTGGCCATGGCCGGGAGGTCCTAGGTTCGAGTACCGACAGTGGCAAGATTGTTGACATTAGCTTGTCAGCTAAGTCGAATACAGTCGCTGTTTGGAAGAGAGTTCTAGCGGCCGGCTGCTCTGATCGTTAGTTTTCCGTGGTTTCTCCGATCAATACTAGGCGCATGCCGGAGAAGTACCCTAACAAACGGACCATGCACCGCTCGCAATCTTTCTTTCCTCTTCCTTGTCTTATCCCCACCCCTTACACACACACTAACATGTAGTTCACTATCACAGATGTCGGGAGACCGGTTGGGAGCTTAGAGATTGTCCCTACAGGGACGGTGCCCCGCTGATGGGACGTGCCTGGTTGGGGAAAACTCCTCTATCCGATGGTAAGTCGGTGCCGGATCTCACCTTACAGCTAGGAAAGATTCCCGCCCCTTCCCGAGAAAATAAATAATGCAGTACACTTAAGAACTAATGACCTCAGTAATTGATGCGATCGGAATGACTAATAACCAACCAACCCACCTTCAGCGCCAACCTGGCTTCCTTCACCACTCCCGCCACTATCACTTCACCCTCCGCCATGTCATCCTTGCAAACCCCACTGCGCTCGTCATACCATGTCCATCCCCCTTCCCTCGCCACCCTCCACTCAAGGCCTGGTTTCAACGCCCTTCTCACCAATCCTGTCAATCGCGTCATCTTCCTCACCCACCACCCGCGACTACCCCGCCCCAATCACCACTCCCTCAACTCCGCCAAACCTCACCACGATCTGTAATGAAGGGCCTTCTACTACCGCAATGCGTCGACCTAGTGCCGAAGCAGCCGACCCGCATCAGACGCCTGCAGCACAGAGCATCCCACCCACTCAAACAGGACGAACCGAAGGCCCCTGAGCGCACCGGGCGTCAGGAAGTCCCACTTCGCGCTCCCGCGTACAATTCCATCCGCAGTGAACCTCAACCGCCCCTCAATTCTGTCGAGACCTTTCGCGTGGCGGTTCGCGCACTGCATTCCCTGTTCATTTGCAGGGGTCAAGGGGCTTTTCAACGGAGCAGACGGCGACGCGTCTGATGCGGAGATCACGAGGACAAAGCGCTCTCCCTGTGCAGGTGCTTTTGTCCTTGCATTCAGAGCTAATGCTGCTTACAAGATGAACCGCAATCCTCTGGTCACACGTTGGGCCAAGAGCCGGCATTAATGGCTATTGATTTGAATCTAGAATAGTTTTTTCTATTTATTTAAGGTCGTTATGAAACAGCTTAAGTAATGAGGGACCTCTGACATTTACAGAATTGTTCATTTACCACTGATTGACGGTAATTGTATAGAAAGATATAGTGAACGACTTATATTAGCTATGCAAACCCAACTGCTTTCAACAGTTTTATAATTTTATCACATATATTTTGAATAAATCGGGTAAGTTGATATTCATGCCCAGTAATGATCTAGACTTTGTTTTATACGATAATTTAACATACTGGTTGCTATATAAGGAAAGCCTTCCTTATATAACAAAAATTTTAAGTACCTCACACTTATTTATGCGCATACTTATTTAGATTAAAATTCGTATTATTATGAAATCAATGTTTTACATTTATCCAATATCTCTCGTAAAATATGTGACTAGATATGACAACTGTTCAAACAGGATTCATCTCAACAGGAATGTCCATGGCTGATAGTCATTGGACCTTTTCAACACAAATCAGGAATAGTGCAGCGTGTTGAACTTGTGTGAATAGGTTGAGAAGTTGAAGAGTGATTGGATATTAATGAAAACGCCAAGATGACCTATAATGCTCTTGATTCTGAATCGCATTTAGTTGGAACAAATTTGAGTAGGCAATTGTGAGTAAATGACAAGCAGGAAACATAATTCAAATGAACAAAGAGGTTTTGCATATAACGCTGTTCTCAAAGAGAGAACCTTTTCTTACGCATCACTTCCAAACTTTTTGCTCTAGATAAAATTAATTATTAAGGACCGCTGTATATTGTGCATAGAAAAATATAGAATAGTCTTCATACAGTGATATGATTGCATACACTGCGTATTCCTAAGAACTGCTTTGAGACTCATTTTATCTACTGATATTGAAAACTTGTTGGCTAGAGCTTGTCCATGCATGTTCTTTTCACTCTGTTGCAAGAAACGTTCCTTTGAGATGCACATAGAACGCTTCACTTATATATGTGCATTGGTAGAGGAGGACTAGAACTTTTTAGAAAGCAGCTAAAGATAAAGGGAAGTCACGTGAATTAGTATACGCGTGTTTAATTAATTAAAAGTTTTTAAAGAATTTCTCTCGTGTAACTAGTATATAATAAAAAAGACAATTTTTGTTAGTCTGATAAAAAGGTGTTTATTTATATTGCTGCGGTGGAAATTGGGAACAACTTGAAAGTACACCATGAAATCGTATCAAATTGACCTTACAAATATCTGAACTAACTTACTCTAACTAAGTTAACACAACTCTTTGAATTTAATTGAATTTGCCTTATTTTTCGTGGGAGACTCGGGCCATCAGGCCCGCTCTTCCGTCTGACCACGCAAATTTCGTTACGCTCCTTTTGCCAACTAGCAGAGAAAGGAGGTATTTCTTGGGCGAGAAACAGGCGATTTGAATTTAGCTCATAGGCGTCATTTAGGCTTGAGGATCTTTTACATCCAAGTAAATCTACTAACATAGAACAGCCGGCTTTATTTCCTCTCCGAAGGATTTTTAGCCCTCAAAAATCCACGGCTTCCATTGGGTTTGTAACCGCGAACTTGGGTACAACAGTCCGGTACGCTAACTGTTACACCATCGCCGCCGCAAATCACATCAAAATTGAATCACCATCCATTATGCAGTGCATTCACCTGATATTCCATTTTTTTAAATTTTGCTTTAGTTGTTGGCTGAAAAGGGTCCCTGGGCACTGAAGACCTAACACCACGCGCGAATGTGCCGGTTCGCCAACGCTGCGACTCGGCATTCGCCTCGAGTGCCTGGCAGGCCGTGGTGCATTCCACGCGGTCCTCTCCGCTTCTCTCGCCCCTCGGGAAAACACATTAGTTCGAGAGTCCACCAGGCACTGACCCATCCCATCTTGCCTGCTGTCATGCTCTAAGATACACAAGAGGTTGTGTACCAAAAAATAAATGACGTGCGTTGAATCTCTGAAACAATATCTACACAGTAACGATATTCGAAAATCCTTAGTACGCCTTCCTTCGGAGGGGAAGTAAAGCCGGCTGTCCCATGTTCGTAGATTTACTTGCATGTAAAAGATCCTCAAGCCTAAATGACGCCTTTGAGCTACATTACAATCGCCTGTTTCTCGCCCAAGAAATACCTCCTTTCTTTCCTAGTTGGTGAAAGGAGCGTAGCGAAATTTGCGTGGTCAGACGGAAGAGCGGGCCTGATGGCCCGAGTCTCGCCACGTAAAATAAGGCAAATTCAATTCAATTCAATTCAATTCGTAATACTTTTCCACTAACTCCCCCAATTCCTACATTCTTAATCTTTATTCACCTGATACGCTTTTAGATAAATAGGGAATGGGTCAATATGAAAATGGTGGACCGTCCCGTAGCTCGGTTGTGTGAAAGAGAATAAGGAAAAGATACGGGCCGTACGATAGTCAGTTATTTAAGGTACAGCTTCGGTATTCATCAGTAATTAATGAAAAGAATCTACAAAAATGACTGATTAGAGCTGGTGGTGTCAAACGTTTAAACTACGATGTGGTCATCTTTGACGTAGCTACTGAGGGTAAAAATACATTATTGCTCCAGAATCTCTTTGTCTATGACGCATGAGTCAATAATAATTTTCGCAGTTATATAATGAACTTTGTATTACACTAATCACCATCCATTTCTCCCTCTTATCCGTACAATTATATTCTAAAATATTAAATATTCAGCTATTCACTTTCACATAGGTAAGCACTCACCGCAAAAGGTTAAAAATAAAGTTATGAAGACAGTTTTTTCTCGAGTTCTTTTCATTATGATCTACCGTATATAACCACTGTATTGTACTATATCTAAAACTAAATTTCTGATTATAATGTTTCACATTATTCTTTCATATATCTCATATTAATGTATTTATCATATACGGCTGTAGAGGGTCAATGAACAAGCTAGAATACATTAAAAAAAATAATTTGCACCAAATGCTTACACGATCAGAGTTTAGTGATTACCGGTGTGTTCAAAATTTGGGGCAGTGGCGTGTGTTTTCAAACAATCGTGTATATAGTCTCATTAAAATATTACCTGAAGGCTATCAAACTATGGAATGTCATGTAATAGTTATCTGCGAATAAATTAGAAATACCTTTACCATAGATACATTTTACTTTGATAACGGAAAATAAAGCTCGGTTCAAAAACATACACATTTTAAAAAACGATTGAAGAAAACAAAACGAAAATTTACGAAGTCAGATGAAAGTGTCGATATTCTTGCTTAGTTAATATGTTTATACATTGCCTAAGAATATATTTTAGAAATTTTGAGGGCATAAAGAATTGTCTAAAATTATAACTTTTTTTCAATGAGCATGTAGTGGAAGATGCCATATAAACCTGTTACATGTGTGTTATTTCCTCCTGATTGTTGCACCGGGAGAGGTGGCTCAGAGCATCAACTGATGTCACTGCAGTGTCTCTGATCGGAAGATCCCAGGTTCGAGTCCCGACAGTGTATCTCTCCCAATAGATAGCTAGGTCAATATCAATCGCTGTCTGGAGTAGAATTCTAACGACTAGCTGATCTGATCGGCAGTATTCCATGGTTTCTCTGATCAGTACTAGACGAATGACTGAGCAGTACCCTAACAAACGTAACTTGACAGTGCGCGTTCTTTCCTTCCTCTTCCTTGTCGTATTATCTCTTCTTACATTGCACTTACATAAGCCGCGTTACCAGAGGTGGGAGATCCCCCTCTGGTTGGGAATACCTAGTTGGAGAAATCCCGCTCACCTAACAGCAGGAGCAGATCACCTCCACTTCATGAAGAAAAACATATACACTACTCTTACGGAACTACTTGCCTTATCACTTGACGCTTCCGGAATCACTAATCAATCAATCCTGTTGTTAGGCTGTTTTATACACAGATATTAGTTTGCTACATGAAATCTCCTTGCGTGTGTCAGAACGCATCCCGCTCAACACTTGTGCATTACAAGTTGCCTGAGAAATAAGGAGCACGTATCATACGGGCACCGACTTGATATGAAATTTCCCACTTCTATTTCATTTGCAAAGTTATCGTTTTCGATATCTCTGCTCCCCGCAGGTGGCAGGGAGTGGGGTGGACGGTCGCAACACTTGAGGCTCAGGGTGGAGGCGTAGACGTCCGCACGATGCCTATCACTCACGTCGTTAGCCTCAATGTAGGCAGTGAGTAGGTGGGTTGCCAGCGGCCTGTGGGCAGGATTCGGAGTGGGCTTTGTTAGCTGACATCTTGTGCGCAGAAGAGCGGCGAATCTCAAACTGACATATAAAAGTCCAGTGGGAACATGAACCTCCTGTTGTTGCGGTTGAGACGCAGGAGTGCCAACCTCATGTTGCGGTTGAGACGCAGGAGTGCTGGGGCGGGAACTGTGTTCAAATACCGCAAGCGGTGAGGTACACCTTCGCACCCTATCTCATTTTCTGAAGGTCTGAGAAAGCCATTTCATTCTTTAATGAGTTAGGGGAAAAAAACATTTCATAAGCAACTTCGCTTTAGCATGATAGTACTATGCAAATGTATTCCACGGTCATGGTGCATTTTCGAAACTAATGTCGTGTGATTCGTCAATGATAACAACGCAGAGATAGAGGGGGCGGAACGTTGGTAGCGACAATGTTCATTAACCACAGATGTTGAGTGACATTCTAGCGTTTGAGTCTAATTACTGAAGGCTTATGATGTAATTTAAGAAGGGTTCCGCACGAATCTAAGTTGAACCAGAGTTAACTTTCCGCTCCAGAGAGAGAGAAGTAATAATGCTGAGCAAGAATAACGGCGAATTTTGCAGAAAAACCCTTTTTACAAGTCCCTTGTAACGAAAAAGTGTGATAAATCGAGTTGCTCATTTATAGAGAAAACGATTCTCTAGCACGTGAGCGTGCCATAATCAATGCTTTGTGGTCTTGATATCGAAAAAAAATATGACAGCAATATTCTACCTATCCGTGCTGTGAACATCACGAGCGCCAAAATGATTGACCCATTTCCCCTAAAATTGATCTGCCCCACCAATCTGACTGTGTCTCTGTCCCTGAATTTGAAATCGACATATAATTTTGGAGGTACTTTATGTGAAGCCTCTGAATATTTTCAAATTTACAAAAAAAATGCTTCGTTTTTATTATTTTGTGTTTGATTAGTGTGAATATTTTTAAAGAAATGGTTGCATGCTCAATTTCATGGAAAACACATTTTTTTTAAAATTGCAAAGTAAAAACTTATTCGAAACTTTTTCCCGTGTTTTTTTACGTGAAAATACGGGCTAGACAGTACGTTAGCACGGACTAGTTATAATTAAGTTGGTTACAGCTAAATACTACAAGGCGAATTTTTCCCACGCCTGAGTTAATATTTCCCCTTCGAAACATGTTCGCCCCACTGTTTGGCATCGCGGCGCGGCCGGGTGGCGATGTTGCGGCGGGGCGGAGTCCAATACCACAGGCATGAGGAGCGATCTCAAGCGCGCGCCCTGAGCCAAATTACGCAGCGGCTGAGGAAAGTGCGAGCAGGTGAAGGGCCCGCGCCTCAGGCGTCCCGCAGGGATCGTCCCTCGGCTCCTCGAAGGCACAGGGCCCTCGGACTGAAACGCGCTGGGGCTCGAGCCTCTCGCCCTGCGAACGACTCCCGACCCTGTCACTACACGCCTATTCCAGCGTTGGGGGGGGCGACCACTTAAGGGAAGTCGAGAGCGGTTACCATTGAATGTTTATATGATCAATTTTCGGTAGTGTTTTGCTAAAATACATAGTTCAAACGTTTGCTCTTTCAAAATATATTACCTCTTTCCTCTAGCACGCCGAAGTCTTTTAATTCGATTTCAGTGTACCAGTTATACGAATGAGCCACGCCCCCTTATTGACACTGCATAAAAATGCGTTGGCTATTTTTTGGCCAGAGTGTGACGCATGTTGGGTATGAGTTATTAAATTATTAGACATGCTCTTGTTCATACGTTGGTAGCATCTGTTTTTCCGCTGCAGTAATGTGATCGAGATTGGAGCCAGGATGTTCTAGCAGAGCACGGCAAATACAGGATGTTTACAAATGGTGTTTTCCCAGAAAATGAATAAATTTGAATTAATAATACCTTATTCCCCTTATGAATAATATGTTCTATTATCACAATTATTGAAATTTTAGGATACATTCTGTATAGAATATGCATGAAGATGAACACTCTTATATAAACATTCTTCAATAATAAAAAAAAAAATTTTCAAAATATGCTTGCCCAAAAAATTCTGACTGAATTTGGGTAAAAGTTATAATTGAAAAAACATTCTAAATATTTGTTGATCAACTCAAAAAAGTGAACATAACCAAAAAAAGTTTTATGTTAAGTGTTATATATGAAATTTCTAGTTATCATTTTCTATAAAAGTATATCACAATAGAAAATGCTAAACATTGCGGAATACTTGAGTACCCTCTCCGCTGAAAGTCGGTTTTCGAAAATGGGTGTGATTTGGTAGAGGGTATGAGCTACAAATAGTCCCATCTTTTCTAAAAATTGGGACCATACAGTCTAGGCCGAAAAAAGTTCCCTTGATGCTATTAAACATTAAGCTTTGAAATACTAATACAAACACAAATAATGAATCAAACTTTACTATAGGAAATACTGACTTCTAGTCTTACTCATATCCAGATTGTTTATTTTTCGTATGATTCAGTTTTTCGCAATATTCACAAATAAGAATTTTACCCCAACTTGACTTTTATGTTACTCTGACTTTTCAAAAGTATATTGGTGGAACGTGGTGAAATGATGTTTTGAGAAAATATTTATTTACTCGACACTGCCCGAAATACCAAAAATATAGTAATGTTTTTTTGGAAATGCGAAATACCATCCATTGTTTCATAAGTTTTTTAACTTCAAATAAGTGTCTTCATATTTCATGAGCCGTAATATATGTTTGTATTAATAAAGCTAGTGGAGATACACAGCACACGCGTTTCTTGCATTTAGTAAGGTATGCGTAACGTATATGTATTATATGGAACGCGCAGAAAGTGTTTCCCAACCATTTTTATCTCGGCAGCGAAAGATTCAAACTCAGCGGTCGAAAAAATATTCCAAAAATTGTAGTTGCTTAAATCCACTGCTTGCTACAGCTGTACGCCAGCTTTTGCAACGCTTACAAAATACGTTCCTGATATTACTGGACTATTACTTAAAGTATCAACTTCCAAAGTACGCTTGGCGCCATTTTTAAGCATTTGTACCTCAAACGTAGAATAGTAAGATAGTAAAACACCGCGGCCCTCGACATTAAAACATCATAGAGTATAATGTTCGGCTGGAAATAAGTGTTAATAACAACTAAATATATTCACAAACTGACAGCATATAAAAAAACTTTTACCTATATATTATTTCTCTAATACAAAACATCTATTCTATTTGAACTGGATTTCCCAACATTTTCATTCATCGGAACTATAAAAAGTATGGTTTGTTATTTCTCACCCCTTTCCGTTTTCTGAATCCCAGCACACCATACACTAATAACCACAAATAAAAGACGTCAAATATAATATTTGCAGGGAATTATATAGTAAAGTCTGGATAATAATTCTGAATTCAAGTTTCATTACTTGTAGTACTATTATCAGTTTAATACGCAAATATAACATAATTTAAGAAACAAAAATCACTTCTATCGATTATAATCGCCAGAAGTCTCATTTTTATTCTCGTGAATGAACTAAATTCTAATTAACCTAGTAAATTCTGATCTTATTCTTTGGTTAGAAAAACATTATGCGAGTTGATATGCAACAACGTGATTTATCGAGCATGGGTCGTTGTTCATATCAATTACTTCTGCTCGGAATACATAATGAATTAAAATAATAACCTCCCCCCCCCTGCAAATATTCAAAAATTGCAGATTCATGGTATTGTAGATTGTTAGATGCGCCTTGGGAAAGAAAAACACAAACACATATTCAATACGGGTGAGTTGCACCATTTCTTTGTGGATCGTAGACATGGCCGCGTGCGAGCTGCGGCTGTGTGTAGCCACGCGCCACATACACACACATACGCATTCACATCCATGCAGTTCACCCGCGTACCGTCAGCAGTGCACACGTATTCGACAAAAATTGGCCGATAACGTATTTGGCCGCCTCCTCGTAATGGCAAGCTCACATAAGGAGATCATGTAATATTAAGCTGAGTTCGATGAACAGAAAATAACTAAGTTGCAATATTCTGTGCGGAAATGCAATCATCAGTCACTAGGCCAATATGTATGCAGTTAAAATGTATTTTTGTGAATATACCATTATCAGACATAGTTCACGTTAACTGTCTCTCACTCTTACTCTCGACTCTCCTCTCATTCTTACTTTCTTCACTCTCTCACCGCTCACTCTCACACTCTCACTTATCACTCACAGTCTTTGCAAGTCAATTCTTAACAAATTGCTTAAGTGAATAAAATGCACGAAAAGTTTAGATTGCCTACATATCATTAATTAAGATTCGCATTGTCAGCGTTCACTAACCAAACACATTAAATTGTTAGAACGCTCGCTCTTGTAAAGGCGGCGTTGGGCGTGAATACAACCAACGTAATTACAAATGAAACCGGAATTGTGAGACAAGGAGCAACATGCCCCTTTCACGATAGTGTGGGCACAAACTGAACTGAGGCGAGCATGGCTTGGCATCCGCATGCCGCTGGCGCCCTTTTAGCATTCAGGCGATAGGAGTGCGTCTTGCCAATGACATGATTGAATTAAGCCACTACAGTAATTGTCCATTAATTAATAAAATATTTGTAAGATTGTGTGAAAGTTACATTGTAGAAATTATAGTGACATTTTGTGGTTACTTTGTTAAACTAGTTGTCTTTTGCACAACGATATTTGGCCGTGTGGAGGCCACGTGTGGTCGGGGCCGATGGGCGGCGCCGTGAAAAAACAGCAGGGCGGAGCGTGGCAGGGAAAAGATTCTGAGAAATGCCTAAGCAACACTGCCTGCTCGCTCAAGCTCACGCCTTTTGAACGAGTTCTCAGGTATAAAATCGTTATCATTATTCATGAAATAATTTGTTTCTAGAAACCTGCTTGCAATTATGGTCGTTATGTTAAGATACTAAGTTAGCATTCTGAAATAAATTAGCTTTTTTGCCAGAACACATAGTATATCAAAGAAAAATATTGGAAAAGAAATATTTATCAACATTTTTACAATATTCTTTCAATTGAACGGTTTCATCCAGATTTATACAACGAGCCTGTTTAACACTAGCACAAACTCTCCAAACATCCATAGCCTCCCGAACCTCCTTCCAATCGATTCCATCACCTCCTCTGTCTGCTTAGATTTCACTCTCAGCCTCCCTGCCACCGCCGCTTTCTATGACGGATGC